GTTCCTGGGCAGAGAAGGGATACTAAGGCAGGCCCATTTCTGGGAGACATGATAGACTTGCCCTTGGCCAAACATTTGTAATGACTGTTCCCAAAGGAAAAAAAAAAAAGGATGTTTTGTTGACTGAGCTGGGCAATGCCAGGCTGGTGGCTTCCTTTTTTCTGTTTCTGTTTTTTTCTTTCTTTTTTTTTTTTTTGAGATAGGGTCTCACTCTGTTACCTAGACTGGAGTGCAGTGGTGCAGTCACAGTTGCCACCTCAGCCTCCCAAGTAGCTGAGACTACAAGCGTGTGCCACCACACTCGGCTAATTTTTTTTTTAAGTGACAAGAGCGAAACTCTGTCTCAAAAATAAATAAATAAATAAAGTTTTGCACATATTTTATGAAGCCCATAAAGGGCATCTTAAAGGTCTATGCTCTTAGAACATTTCTGGAAGGATACGCAGAAATGGTTATTGCTGTGGCCCTGGAGTGCAGGAGGGGAATTTTCCTTTATTGAATACCCTTTAATCTATAGTGCATGTATTATGATTTTAAAGTTTTTAAACTTGTTAGTTATTTTAAAGGAATTGCTGTTCTAACACGTTGCAGTGATCACAAACTCGCATCCCTTCAGGGGCCAGGGAGACTCAGTGTACTTGGGTTTAAGGAGATGGCAGTGGTGGAGCGGCAGCTAACTGCAGCTTCCATGCCACACCCAAGGTGCTTAAATTCAATACCATGAGAAGCATAGTGTTTGATCAAATCAATGTCCCACTATTGGTCCCAGGAGCACTATCAATTAGCGACCTCTGCTTAGAGTGATAGTGACAGGTTTTATCTGAAAACCTTTCAGAGGAGTCAATGATTCCTTAGTGAAGTATGCAGAATCTCTAAAGCAGTGAGGGGTTGGGGGGACCACCATGGAAATTACCTGAGAGCTCCAGAGAATATGGCTGCTTCTGCATAATGCAATTTTTACACAGAAAGCGTTATCCATCCAGGCCTCTGTTTTCTGACGTGTCCAGCCCCTGCCTGGTGGAAACTCCTAGTCTGATGGGAGATGGACAGAGTCTAGTCTTGGAAGGCAGAGTTCATGTCATGGCAGGCCCTAAAGGGTCTGAGCTGAATTTCCTCAGGTAGAAATGAGGGGAAATCTATATTCCTTTCAGGGTGAACAGTAGAATCAAAAGTTCTGAGGTGGGCCAGGCATTGTAGCTCACACCTGTATTCCCAGCACTTTGGGAGGCCCAGGCAGGAGGATCACTTGAGGCCAGGAGTTCAAGACCAGCCTGGGCAACACAGTGAGACCCCTGTCTCTACAAGAAGTAAAAAAAGTTATCGGGGCATGGTGGCACATGCCTATAGTCCTAGTTACTCAAGAGGCTGAGGTGGGAGGATCACTTGAGGCCAAGAGTTCAAGACTGTGGTGAGCTATGATCATGCCACTGTACTCCAGCCTGGGCAATGAGAGGACGAGGAGGGGAAGGGAGGGAAGGGGGTGGAAGTGAGAAGGGGAGAGGAGGAGGGAAGTGTGGGGGGAAAGAAAGGAGGGAAGAAAAATGGAAGAAAGGAAGAACAAAAGGAAGGAAAGAAGGAAGGGAGGGAGGGAGGAAGAGAGGAAGAAAGTGAGTCCCAAGGTGGAAAATCAAGGGGCCTGTTTGGAGAAGAGAGAGAATTCATGGGATCTGGTCAGGGGAAGAAGTATGGGAAATCAGGTTGAAAAGGCAGGTTCCAGGGAATCAGGCCCCCCCAGCCTTCTAATATGACAAAGCTGAGGAAGAATTCTTCCTGGTGACCATTTCATTCTTGTGTAGTGAGTGCACTCAGCCCCCCAGAAGTAACTGTGGAGGACTTGGTTGGAACCCCAGTGACCAACCATTGCTCCCGACCAGGTTCCCAACAGGCACGTGCTGGCTTGGGATGCTCCAAGGCCACCTGGAGGATATGGATCTATCTCAACCCAATTTCCTCCTCCTAGGGGATGAACTGAATATGAGGGAAGAGAGCAAGCAGATCAATGCTTGGAAAGGGAATGTATGTCGCTCAGGGTCTCAGAGCAAATTGAGGAATCATAGAGGCTGAACTCCCACCTCTAGATTCTTATTCCAAGGCTCACTCCCCAGCACCAGGCTGCCTCTTGAAGTGTATGTGTCAACTCCAGGTACAACACAACAATCACCATTCTCAATAAAACCCCCTTCCCATTCACCCACAAGATGCTAGGCCTTGGGCTAGGTTCTTGTCAAGCTAACTGGGTTCTCAGAACAAGCCTATAAGGTAGGTACTACAATTATTCCCAGTTTCCAGATGAGGAAGGTGAAGCTCCAAGGGGCAAAATGACATTCTTCTGCAAGGCAGAGCCGAGATTCCAAATCAGAGCCATTTGACTGCAAAGATCGTGCACATCAGATAAAGGAAACCTCACCGAAGCAGGGAGGGACACAGACAGCCTTCCAGGCTTGTGAACAGCATTTCCAGAGGTCAAAGGATTGCACAGAGAAAACACTGTGCAAACCAGATTCTCCCCGTAAAGCCCAAAGGAGGCATCCTGCCTTCAGCCAGAGCCAGAGGCACCAGACTCCAACAGCTGATTCCTGTTTCATCTGATTTCTGTTCTTCCTACTCCACTCTCCACCACCCCAAGACTATTCAAATATAAGCTTTGGCTGGGTGCAGTGGTTCACACCTGTAATCCCAGTACTTTGGGAGGCTGAGGTGGGCAGATCACCTGAGGTCAGGAGTTCAAGACCAGCCTGGCCAACATGGCGAAACCCTGTCTCTACACAAATACAAAAATAAATAAATATATATTTATTTATATGCTAGGCCTTGGGCTAGGTTCTTGTCAAGCTAACTGGGTTCTCAGAACAAGCCTATATATATATGTGTGTGTGTGTGTGTAGATAAATAGATAGATAGATAGGCATGATAGTGGGTACCCGTAATCCCAGCAACTTGGGAGGCTGAGGCAGGAGAATCGCTTGAACCCAGGAGGCGGAGGTTGCAGTGAGCTGAGGATCGTGCCTTCATGAAAGCAGAGGATTTCAGTCAGTTTTGTTCACTAATTTCCAGCACCTACAAGAGTGCCTGGTACATATAAGGAGCTATTAATAAATAAACGTGTTGGATGATGTGGAAGGTGAATGTTTTTTAGCTACAGGGAGTTTTTGTTTGTTTGTTTTTTGACATAGGGTTTCCACTCTCTCATCCAGGTTGAAGTGCAGTGGTGCGATCTTGGCTTACTGCAGCTTTGACCTCCTGGGCTCAAGTAATCCTCCCACTTCAGCTTCCCGAGTAGCTGGGAGTACAGGCATGTGCCACCACACCAGGCTTATTTTTCGTTTTTTTTTTTTTTTTTTTTTTTTTGTACAGACAGGGTCTCACTATGTTGCCCAGGCTGGTCCCAAACTCCTGGCCTCAAGTGATCCTCCCACCTAGACCTCCCAAAGTGCTTGGATTATAGGCATGAACCACTGCGCCTGGCCAAACTTAGACTATCACGCAAAGCTCCTGTATAGGGGTACTTCCATTAGCTGGGAGACCCAACTTGAATGACAGTGGCTTGGTGACAGAAGATTTGAAAATGCTCCTGGATGAGCCCACTGGATAAGGAATACCACTGGGAATCACTTTGGAAAGTGATAAACACATTAGTCAAGTTAAACTCTCCCTGAGTGATCATTGTGGATAAGCCTGGACTTTCTTGCTTTGCTCAGAGCAGGATTTGTTCCCTTCCACTCAGCAGACCTTCGTGAAGCATTATGTGTGCAAAGCTCAGTGCCACATCTCAGATCTGAGAAATGGAAGGAAGTGCAGAAACCACCCACCAGCCCCACCATTCCTGAAGAGCAAGTGGGAGAGCTGAAACCCAGAGAGAGGTTACCGAGGGAGGCAGGAGGTCCCAGTCCAAGGCCTGCCCCTGGCTCTGTCCCCTCGGCCCTCATAGGTCTGCAGACTTTCAAAGTCAGCAGCTGGACCAGGCCCAGAATTCTAATAGGCAGAGTAACACTTCCTGACTTAACAAAGGGCTGAGCTGGGAAGTGTTCCTGCTAAGGATCTCCAGGAATTAAATGACTTTGGTGGCCATGCACGGTGGCTCATGCCTGTAATCCCAGCACTTTGGAAGGTCAAGAAGGGAGGATCACCTGAGGTCAGGAGTTCGAGACCAGCCTGACCAACATGGCGAAACCCCTTGTCTACCAAAAATACAAAAGTTAGCCAGGTGTGGAGGCACCTGCCTTTAATCCCAGCTACTCAGGAAGCTGAGGCACGAAAGTCACTTGAACCTGGAAGGTGGAGGTTGCAGTGAGCCGAGATTGCGCCGTTGCACTCCAGCCTAGGCGATAGAGTGAGACTCCATCTCAAAAAAAAAAAAAAAGAAAAAGAAAAAGAAAATGCCATGTAGGAAATGACATATAGATAAGCCTTGAAGGATGAAGAGAGAGCTAAAGGGGCATTTCAGATGAAGGATCTTCACAAATAAAGCTACAGTGTGGGGACTATCCGGGTGTAGTCTGGAGAGCAGGCAGAACAGGGAGTGGGCACTACTGGAAGGCTACTGGAGCCATCATGGTGAGAACCACTGGAAATGATGAGCCCTGGGCTTAGCGCTTTACATCCTCATGCTAGACCTTGGAGGTAGGTTCCCTTACTACTACTGCATTCTTTCAGATAAGGAAACGGAGGTTCAAGGAGGTGACAAAGTCACAAGGCTGACTGGTGGTAGAAATAGCACTTAAGCCAGGTCCTTCTGATGCCTCCCCCCGACCTCCTTACCACTGGGATGCCAGGCAGTGGCATTACTGAGGCCTTCCCATCTAAGGTACCACTGTCCCAGCACACTTGGCCTGGCATGTCACCTCAGACATGTGGGCAACAAGAGGTCAATCTTTGCCTTAAGCATGGAAGCTAGCTTGATCCCACCTTTTCGAGTTGAGCATCTATGAGACTATCAGGACCTCCTTCACCAGAATAGAGGTCATGCATGGGCAAGGAATATGAGGATTGCTGAGGATTTGTTATGCTCCGCTGTCTACTGGTTTCTGTTTATTGTTCTGTAGTTGTGTAGGTTGTAGTTACTAGTTCTCCTCTGGTCACACTGGTGTCATCATGACTCTGGGGCAGATCCCTTTGCCAGAAGTAGGGTGGTTGGTCTTTCTTGGGAGACTGGAGTTTAAACTGGTCATGGTACCCCAAAGGTTAAGTACTGGTTGTTCATGGATTCATCTCTCTATCGCCCCAGCTTTCTGAGCTGCTCTGTCATGAACTTTTTTTTCAGGTGTTCATAGTAGTGGTTCATCTTTTTCTTGGTCTTCTCTAAAGCGTTCACCTTACAAAAAACAGAGGTGAGGTTAGGGTCACTTCACAGCGGGGCAGGCATCTGTGCTGCTGATGTGGGTGTGGGAAGAGTGCCAGCTGGACCCTACGTACATTCCATATACTTTGACTCACAGGGAGCCTATTTCTCTAGTTGTAAAAAGTGGGTATTAAGCTAGATAACTCCAAGGCGGGGAGCAGTGGCTCATGCCTGTAATCCCAACACTCTGGGAGGCCAAGGAGGGTGGATCACTTGAAGTCAGAAGTTTGAGAGCAGCCTGGCCAACATGGTGAAACCCCGTCTCTACTGAAAATACAACAATTATCCAGGCATGGTGGCCCATACCTGTAATCCCAGCTACTCAGGCGGCTGAGGCAGGAGATTTGCTTGAATCCAGGTGGTGGAGGCTGCAGTAAGCTGAGACCGCACCACAGCACTATAGCCTGGACAACAGAGTGAGGCTCCGTGTCAAGAAAAAAAAAAAAAGCTAGGTAACTTCTATGATACCTTCTGACAGTCTGCAGCCTAGGAGCCTGATTTTGACCTTAAAAACATCTCTAGGCAGGGCGCGGTGGCTCACCCTTGTAATCCCAGCACTTTGGGAGGCCGAGGCTGGCGGATCACGAGGTCAGGAGATCGAGACCATCCTGGTTAACATGGTGAAACCCCGTCTCTACTAAAAAATACAAAAAATTAGCCAGGCGCGATGGCGGGCGCCTGTAGTCCCAGCTACTTGGGAGGCTGAGGCAGGAGAATGGAGTGAACCCAGGAGGCGGAGCTTGCAGTGAGCCGAGATCTCGCCACTGCACTCCAGCCTGGGCGACAGAGTGAGACTCCGTCTCAAAAACCAAACCAAAACAAAACAATCTCTATTTGGCCAGGCGTCGTGGCTCACGCCTGTAATCCCAGCACTATGAGAGGCCAAGGAAGGCAGAGGTCAAAAGATCGAGACCATCCTGACCAACATGGTTAAACCCCCTCTCTACTAAAAACACAAAAATTAGCTGGGCGTGGTGGTGCGCGCCCGTAGTCCCAGGTACTCGGGGAGGCTGGGGCAGGAGAATCGCTTGAACCCGGGAGGCGGAGGTTGCAGGCAGGAGAATCGCTTGAACCCGGGAGGCAGAGGTTGCAGTGAGCCGAGATTGCGCCACTGCATTCCAGCCCGGCGACAGAGCAAGACTCTGTCTTAAAAAAAAAAAAAAAAAAAAAAAAATCCCTATCTGAAGACTGGTCAGAAAAAAGATGGCGGGGGTGGGGGCGGTTTAGGAGGGTTACATCTTGTCTCTCCATAACTTCTATTGCCCTGTCACTATTAATCATTTGGTGCTTCCCGCATGTTGTCTGTGACATCCCCTATATCACACTGAATTCCACTGATTTCTTCTATTGTATAACTTATGTCCCCCAAAAGACGGTAAGGTCTGGGAAGCCACATCCTATGTCTTATTTATTTACTCCAATGAGCTAGCTACAGGAGAGGATACTAAGAAAAACTGCCACAGGTCTTCACAGTAACTACAATGTAGTCAGTAGGTAAGACACATGCCCAAATATTTCTTTTTCTTTTTTTAGACGGAGTCTCCCACTGTCGCCCAGGCTGGAGTGCAGTGTGGTGCAATCTCGGCTCACCACAACCTCCACCTCCCAGGTTTGTGCCATTCTCATGCTTCAGCCTCCCTAGTAGTTGGGACTACATGCGCCCACCACCACGCCCGGCTAATTTTTTTGTATTTTTAGTAGAGATGGAGTTTCACTGTGTTAGCCCAGATGGTCTCGATCTCCTGACCTCGTGATCTGCCCGCTTTGGCCTCCCAAAGTGCTGGGATTACAGGTGTGAGCCACCATGCCCGGCCCACATGACCAAATATTTCTAAGAGAGAAAATGATCCACCTCCAAAAGAAGCGCAGTGTTCAAGGAAGGGGGATATCGAGACAAGTTTCACTTGGCTGGGCGCGGTGGCTTATGCCCATAATCCCAGCACTTTGTGGGGCCGAGGCAGGTGGCTCACTTGAGGCCAGGAGTCTGAGATCAGCCTGGCCAACATGGTGAAACCCCATCTCTACTCAAAATACAAAGAAACCTAGCTGGGTGTGGTGGCATATGCCTGCAATCCCAGCTACTCAGGAGGCTAAGGCACAAGAATCGCTTGAACCCAGGAGACGGAAGTTGCATTGAGCCGAGATTGTGCCACTGCGCTCCAGCCTGGGTGACAGAGCGAGACTCTGCCTTGGAAAAGAAAAGAAAAGCTATACAGAGAAGTTAGCATATAAACTGAGACTAGGTTTTGAAGGATGGGGAGGTTTCGGGCATGTCGAAACAATGTGGTGGGTGGTGATCCTGTGAATGTATGTTTTTAACAAGCCTTCCAGGGGTTTCTGATAAGCACTAACATTATCTGCAGACCCAGCACAAGGTTAAGCAAAGGACTTCTTCATAAAGGCCAATGTGGACATGATTACTTGACATGAGCAATTAAAGAGGGAGGGTGGGTACTAAATGACATAGTTCAAGTCCGTGTTCTCCAAACCTGGCTGAGCATCAGAAGTGTTTCAGTTACTTGATACAAACGTCAGCCCCAAGGATTCTTGCTTAATAGGGTTTGGATGGGGGCCAGCAATCTCCACTTTTGTCATGTACCTGAGATGATTCTGATCCAGCCATTACCAACTGGGTGCCATTACCACCATTTTCTTTTTTCCTTTTTTTTTTTTTTTTTTTGAGACAGGGTCTCACTCTATCGCCCAGGCTAGAGAGAGTGCAGTGGCACAGTCTTGGTTCACTGCAACCTCCACATCCTGGGTTCAAGCGATTCTCATGCCTCAGCCTTCCAAGTATCTGAGATTACAGGCTCAAGCCACCACACCAAGTTAATTTTTGTATTTTTAGTAGAGACAGGGTTTCACCATGTTGGCCAGGCTAGTTTCAAACTCCTGACTTCAAGTGAGCCACCTGCCTCGGCCTCCCAAAGTGCTGGGCTTACAGGTGTGAGCCACCGTGCCTGACCTTATTACCACCATTTTCTTTTCTTTTCTTTGAGAGTTTTGCTCTTGTTGCCCAGGCTGGAGTGCAATGATGCGATTTTGGCTCATCACAACCTCTGCCTCCCGGGTTCAAACAATTCTCCTGCCTCAGCCTCCTGAGTAGCTGGGATTACAGGCATGTGCCACCCACCCGGCTAATTTTGTATTTTTAGTAGAGAAGGGTTTCTCCATGTTGGTCAGGCTGGTCTCGAACTCCCAACCTCAGGTGATCCGCCCGCCTCGTCCTTCCAAAGTGCGTGAGCCACCGTGCCTGGCTTACCACCATTTTCTAGTCCACTCCATGACAGCAGGCTTTTTGGCCTCTCTCAACTAGTGATTTTACCTTGAGCATGACTCTTACCAATCAGGGTTTCTCAACCTTGACATTACTGACATTTTGAGCGAGGCAGTTCTGTGTGGTGGTAGGCTGTCCCATACACTGTGGGATATTCAGCAGCATCCCTGGCCTCTACCTATTAAATGATAGTAGCACCACTATCATTGTAATATCAAAAATGTAATAATCAAAATGTCTCCAGACATTGCCAATATCCCCTGAGGGGCAAAACCTCTTGAGGACCGCAGCCATAGATGAAGCAGTAGCAGCCATCATTCACTGTTCTTAGAGCATACTCAGGGGATGCCTAAGATGCTAGAACCTAGCTGTCCTTGAAATCCGTGGCTAGCCAAGGACGCCTCTTCCCCTAATGTGATCACATTTTTAGAGAGGCAGAAACACTGCCACATTGTCACAGAAGCCTTCAAATCCTCTGAGTTCCTACAAGCTGGCATCTCCGCTAGTCACTGGGTCTATAAACTGGAGAAACCAGTGTCTGTCCTTAGGGAGAATGTCCTGCATGACGGTTAGTCAGACTGGGGTTTGTAACTCTGCAGTGACTCACAGTGTGATCCTAGTGAAGTTCCTCCATTTCCTTTGAGTCTCAGTTTTTGAACTATTAAATGGAGGTAATAATGCATAATAGGTGTCAGGTACCTAAAACATATAAGGTCTCCGTATAGCTTTAAAAGGAAGCTTCTGAGACCAAGTGCAGTGGCTCATGCCTGTAATCCTAGAACTCTGGGAGGCTGAGGCTGGCAGATGACCCGAGGTCAGGAGTTCGAGACCAGCCTGGCTAACATGGTGAAATCCTGTCTCTACTAAAAATACAAAAATTAGGTGTGCTGGCACATGCCTGCCCAGCTACTTGGGAGGCTGAGGCGGGACAATCGCTTGAACCCAGGAGGTGGAGGTTGCAGTAAGCTGAGATGGTGCCACTGCACTCCAGCCTGGGTGACTCCATCTCAAAAAAAAAAAAAGGGCCGGGCGCGGTGGCTCAGCACTTTGGGGAGGCCGAGGCAGGTGGATCATGAGGTCGGGAGTTCGAGACCAGCCTAGCCAACATGGTGAAACCCTATCTCTACTAAACATACAAAAATTAGCTAGGTGTGGTGGCTGCAATCCCAACTACTTGGGAGACTGAGGCTGAAGAATTGCTTGAAACTGGAAGGTGGAGGTTGCAGTGAGCTGAGATGGAGCTACTGCATTCCAGCCTGAGCAACAAGAGTGAAACTCTGTCTCAAAAATATAAATAAATAAAAATAATAAAAAAAGGAAGCTTCTGGGCAGCTGAAAGTTGGCACAGCCCTCAGGTATACATAAAGCCAACTCAGGAGCTTCCAGTTAAGAGTATTTCAGAGTTCCTCCCCTCACCTAAGGTGCACAACATTCCCTACTCACTGAGTTGACCCCCAACTTATCCTAGGCCTCTCAAAATACTCCACACCACCTGGCCACAATGATTGGAACAGGGATGGGTCCATGAACCAAGTGGGGCCAGCTGGATTCCTTCTCCGGGATTTGTCTAACCGGAGCAGCAGTGGAAGCACTCCTTGTGGTCTACAGGCCAGGGTTTCCTGTGCCTTTGCTCCCCAAGGTCAGCCAGTCTGATAATGATACCAGTGTTCAGAAAGCCACAAAGGGCTGGGCACAGTGGAGCATGCCTGTAATCCCAGCACTTTGGGAAGCAGGGATGGGCAGATCACTTGAGCCCAGGAGTTTGAGGCTAGCCTGGGCAATATGGTGAAACCTCATTTCTATTAAAAGTACAAAACATTAGCTGGGCATGATGGCGCGTGCCTGTAATCCTAGCAACCTGGGAGGCAGAGGTGGGAGGATTGCTTGAACCCAGAAGGTTGAGGCTACAGTGAGCTATGATCATGCCACTGCCCTCCGGCCTGAGCAAAGGAGTGAGACCATGTTTCAAAAAAAAAAAAAAAAAAAAGGAAGAAAAAAGAAAAATAGAAAGGAAAGAAAAAAAAAAAAAAGAAGGATACAAAGACGATGAGAGAAAATGGAAGACATACCTGGTGGTAGTACAGCTCCTGGCTTTCCCCAAAAACATTGGTGACTCTGCCCTGTCCATCCTTGATTATGTAAACCCAACTTCTCTCTTTTGCTTGAACTAGTTCAAGTTCAGTTTATATTACCTGCAACTGAGAGGATCTTAATAGATCCTATGTTACAAATGAGAAAGCAGAGTCTGGAGGAAGTGTGATTCACCCAGGGTCACACAAAGCTGACTTTCCCATCTATTTCCACTGTACCACACCCATGGAAGTGTAGCAGAAGGAGAAATGCCCAGGTCCCTACTCTTCTTTTGGTGTTTGTGACCTTCAAGAGGATCTGGCACCATCTCTTAAGGATCTCCAATTGTTTTTAATGTTAGAATCCTGTGGGCCCATCCAGACTTGCCCCTGGAACATGGAGGGAAGCTCAAAAGAGTCAAGAAGGGGGCAGTGGCTGGATATGGTGGCTCACTCCTGTAATCCCAGCACTTTGGGAGTCTGAGGTGGGTGGATCACCTGAGGTCAGGAGTTCGAGACCAGCCTGGCCAACATGGTGAAACCCCGTCTCTACTAATAAAACAAAAATTAGCCAGGCGTAGTGGTGCATGCCTGTAATCCCAGCTACTTGGGAAGGTGAGGCAGGAGAATTGCTTAACCCAGGAGGTAGAGGTTGCAGTGAGTTGAGAGAGTACCACTCCATTCCAGCCTGGGCAAGAAGAGTGAAACTCTGTCTCAAAAAAGAAAAGGTGGTGGCAGCAGCTCAACCCTGGGCACCCTGCTCCGCTTGAAAAAATGAGTGTGTTCCTGGAGTCCATCTTGTTCACTTGTCTCTTCCTAGTGCCCAACACAGTACCTATCCCAAGTAGGCCCAAAGGACAGGTTTAATGAATGCATCAATCAGGGTCTATGGGAACAGTGCAGTGACAGCACTCAGCATTTCAAGTAAGCAGGTCAAACTCTACCTGTCCATAGCAAAAAGTGGGAGAAGAGCCTCAGTTCTCATCTGGAAAATGGGGATAATCCCTAAAGGAAAATATCGACAAGATGGTGTTGAGGCCCATTCAAACTCTAGGACCCAAGACTTTGGTTTTCTGTTTTTTTGTTTGTTTGTTTGTTTGTTTGTTTGAGATGGCATCTTGCTCTGTTGCCCAGGTTGGAGGGCAGTGGCACAATCTCAGCTCACTGCAACCTCCACCACCCAGGTTCAAGCAGTTCTCATGCCTCAGCCTCCCATGTAGCTGAGATTACAGGCAGGTGCCACCACACCAGGCTAATCTTTGTATTTTTAGTGGACACAGGATTTCACCATGTTGGCCAGGCTGGTCTCGAACTCCTGACCTCAAGTGATCCTCCTGCCTCAGCCTCCCAAAGTGCTGGGATTAGAGGTATGAGCCACTGCGTGCGGCCTAGGACCCCAGACTTTGTATAGGAGAAAATAAGAATCCATTTATGGATTCCCTAAATAGATAATATGTTTTCAGAAAAAAAGACCCAAGAGATATGGAGTCTTTTCCTCTGGCTCCCTTAGCCCAGGAACCTTGTGCAAGTCAGTAACCCTGAGTATCAAACTGCCTCCTCCGTAAAATGGGGCCTGCCTTAGGGCACCTTGATGACTCTCTATCACCTCTATGATCCCCCAGGATACAGGGAGAATGAAATAAATATGGGTCAAGCCACTAACACCCTCTAATGCAAAAGCTTGTGGCTACTTTACCTCCATCTCATAGATTCGTTGTGCGATGCGGTTATCATGAATAATCACCCGAGATAAATGGCTCTTGGGTAAAGTTTTTTTCATTGCTGCTTCACTGGAATTCATTACGCTGGAGCAGGGAGGGAAAGGTGGTACAGGTTACAGATGGCTGGAGCCAGGGCCAGAGCACATTTGATGGGGTCCTGAGGGAGTGGCTGAGGCTTCCCCAGGTTTCTTAGGACAAGTGCAGCTCTGCCATAATTTTCAGAAGAACAAGGGAGTAACCACAGTTTCTTGTTGTGGAAAAGGTACGCTAAAGGGGTATTTCATGGATACCTAGAAGAAAAGCCATTCTGAGGATATAAAAGGGCCCAGTGCAGTCCACAAGAGAAGGGTAATCAGGAACTCAGAACCATCCTCAGAAGCAGTCATCCTTTTTTTGTTTTTTGTTTTTTTTGAGACGGAGTTTCACTCTGTCTCCCAGGCTGGCATGCAGTGGTGCAATCTTGGCTTACTGCAACCTCCGCCTCCGGTTCAAGCAATTCTCCTGCCTCAGCCTCCTGAGTAGCTGGGACTACAGGTACTTGCCACCATGCCTGGCTAATTTTTGTATGCTTAGTAGGGACAGGATTTCACCGTGTTGGACAGGCTGGTTCTGAACTCCTGACCTCAAGAGATACACCCACCTCAGCCTCCCAAAGTGCTGGGATTACAGGCAAGTGCCACTACGCCCACCCAGCCAAAAGCAGTCATCTTGATGATCCTTCTTAAGGATGAAATGGTGAGAGGAGTCTTAGAGAAGAGGAGTAAAGTTGTAGGGTAGGATTCAGAAGGATGAATCTGAGAGGTGTTTAGCTTGGGGGGCACTTGCTCTAGAGTGTATGCCTCAAAGGGATCCGGGAGGTGGGGGGTTGGGGGAGTATAAATTAGAGCAGGGAGAAATGAAAATGAAAAGCTTGGACAGGTGTTAGGCTGGTTAACAGGGAAATTCTGGAAGAAAGTTTGGGGAGTTTAGAAAAGTGAGGGAGGTATGGGGTGGCCAAGGGTTTTAGGAGACTCTGAAAGGTGAGAGGTGAAAGATGGGGTGGGGTGGGCTAGAATGGAGCCAAGTACTCCAGGTGAAAATACAATAATTTGGTCAAAATGAGAAAACGGTGAAAAGTGGAAACACTTCCAGGCACTGAGTTTTCACTTTTTGATAATTTAGTTACACCACGAAGTAGTTTTATGAACATATACCTTTAAATGGTTTTGTCCATTTAAAAATAATTGTTCAGGACCGGATGTGTTGGCTCACACCTGTAGTTCCAGCACTTTGGGAGGCTGAAGCAGGCGAATCACGTGGAAGTCAAGAGTTCCAGAACAGCTTGGCAAACATGGTGAAACCCCGTCTCTGCTAAAAATACAAAAATTAGCTGGGTGTGGTGGTGAGCACCTGTAATCCCAGCTACTCGGGAGGCTGATGCAGGAGAATCACATGAACCCACGAGGCGGAGGTTGCAGTGAACTATCGTACCACTGTACTCCAGCATGGGCAACAAAGTGAGACTCCGTCTCAAAAAAAAAAAAAAAAAAAAGTTCATATTTTCTTTCTAAAATGTGGAAACAAGATGTACAATATTGAATAAATTTTGGTATGTCATAAAATAAAATACATGTAATTGTGTATGAAACATAGACACGGGTGGTGTATTAGATAGGAGAAGAAAGCAGGTTACTAGAAAGTGAACTTTTTGTGATGTATTGTTTTGTAAGTGTAAGCATGTTATCATATATATATATAAATATATAAATATATGAATGGATCCCGAACAAAATGCACCAAAATGTTAACAGTGATTGTCCCTAGCCAATCATGCTGCTAGTCTGTCTTATTTTTCTTATTTTATTTTATTTTTATTTCTTTGAGACGGGGTCTCACTCTGCTGCCCAGGCTGGAGTGCAGTGGCACAGTCTCGGCTCACTGCAACCTCTGCCTCCCAGGCTCAAACAATCCTCACACCTCAGCCTCCCAAGTAACTAGGACCACAGGCCAGCCACCATGCCTGGCTAATTTTTTGTATTTTTGGTAGACACAGGGTTTCGCCATGTTGACCTGGCTGGTCTTGAACTCCTGAGCTCAGGTGATCCACCCTCCTCAGCCTCTCAAAGTGGTGAGATTACAGGCATGAGTCACTGCACCTGGACTTATTTATCCATAAGTGTACGCTACTTTTGTAATTAGGACAAAAAAGACAACTGTGGAAGGGTAAAACATTTTGAAGGACTAGAATTTTTTTCTAACTGATGCCGGGTGCAGTGGCTCACACCTGTAATCCCAACGCTTTGGGAGGCAGAGGCAGGCAGATCACCTGAGGTCAGGAGTTCCAGACCAGCCTGGCCAATATGGTGAAACCCCGTCTCTACTAATAATACAAAAATTAGCCAAGCATGGTGGCGCACGTCTGTAATCCCAGCTACTCAGGAGGCTGAGGCAGGAGAATCGCAATTCATTTTCAGCCAATTTGGAACCGGAGTGTCGTGTATGTTTTTAGATTTACAAACTAGTATGAACACTCCAATTTCCTAGTCTCCCATTTACATTTTTCTGACCTCTATGCACAGCCTAGGTATGAGGTGATGGAAAAGGCTGGTTTAGAGATCAAGATGCTCAAACACAAAAGTCCCCCAAATCCTGATTTGTTGTTGTTGTTGTTGTTGCTGAAAAAAGAAATCCCTAAAACATTTAAGGACACATAAAACTCTTCACCCACTTAGTGGGTGCACCAAATTTACCAATACTAGAAGGGGAAAAGGGTGGCAACGACTGGAAATAGTCCCTTTCAAGTAATAAAGGTCATTTTGAACCAAATTGCTTTCTACCTCAAGTTCTCCATGGACAGCAGCCTGAAGGATGCAGAGAGGGGTGTTTGTGGAATGGAAAGGAGCACGGGTAATTAGGGTTTGTGAGGATCCGGGCCAGGCAGAGGGAACTGGGTTTTTTTCCAGGACCACTGGGGAACAGAGAGGCTGAGAAGGGGCATATGAGACGGATTCTAACTTGGGAGGACCCGGGCCTCGCCAGGCTCTAAGAGTCAGGGCTCACCCCCTAGGGTGCTGCGGCCACCAGATGTCATGCCTAAAGGACTAACGGGCCGGGACCGATTCTGAGAAAATGTGGACTGGAAATGGGGATTCCAGGTTCTCCCGGGATTCCGGGGCGACGGAGTTCGGGCTCCAGGGAATCCAAAGATTTAGACTGGGAAGGAGCTGGGGCCCGGGGCTACGAGGAATCGACTGTCCGGGGGTGGGAAAAAGGGCCGGGGTCCGGCTGAGGGAAGCGCCAGTCTCAAAGAGTTCGGGTTCCCTCGCGGGTCCGAGGGTCTGACGAACGCTCTGGGCATGCGGGCCGCACCTGAAGAGCACCGGCTGCTGCGCGGTCCGCGGCCGCGGGAAGCAGACCTGCGGCTGACCCCCTACCCCGATGTCTTGGCGGCGGCCGAGTCTATCGCGCTGGTAGTTCGAGCCCAGCTGGTAGTTCGAGGTTGCGGCAGAACTGGTGGTCGCCTGGGGGGCGGTCCCATAGATCGTGGAGGATCCCAGGTCCCAGGTGACCAAGGGCTTAGTCGGCTGTGTCATTGCGGCTTCCCTATTGGAGAAAAAGTTGGAAACCGGAGGCTGGTTGCCAGCGCAGCTAGGTGGCCGCGCGCTGACGCGGAGTGAGTGCCTGGGCGGAGCCCTGAGCCGAGCGCCGCGCGTTGCCTGGGAGACACATACTGGCGGCGGGGAAAGGGATAGGTGCTGTTGGACCTGCACGCAGAGCCCGGCGGCTACGGACGAAGTAATATTGTCCCTCGGCGGCCGCCGTGGTGAGACCTGGCGCGTTGCCGTGGAGACGGACGGGTCCGGAAGAAGTGGGGTGCGGTGAGCTGAGCAGATCCTATCCGCTTCGACGCGGGGACGGCGGTGACCCGGTCTTGCTGTCGGGGCGGGTAACGGGTTGAGCCAGGGTGGGGCTGCTCAGGGGCGTGGAGCTGAGGCCTGGATTTCTCTGAAGACCCGGCACAGGCGATTCCTTTCTGCGGCGAGAGACAATTGCTATGGAAACCAAAGTGCTAGGCCAACGGGGATTGAGGCTCCAGCATCAAGACTGGTCTCTTTCCGGAAGACCCTTGCCCGAGGCTTCGCTGGGCGGCCGCTTACGGAACGAATCCGCCACTCTCCTGAGGGGTCTTGACACCTAGCAGGCGAAGAAGCCTATTCCAATGCCAGCGCCCCCAGGAAACCTACCTGGCCAACCCCTATAAGTGGTGCCTGGCTCTCGTTAACTCTTCGACTTCGTTCCACGTTTGTAACCTAGTGTTTCGCTAACGCCCCGGGGTGTTTGTTCGCTTTTCCCACACATAATGGGCCAGAAAGACTTGCTTCGGGACTTTGCTTTATGACTCTGAACAAGTCATTTTTTCCCGCTGGGTCTCTCTTTCCTCTTGTGTAAAATGGAAATATTAACTCTAGATGCCGGTCTGATTAGGTTTGAAGATCGAACCAGATGAGGGAAGCCAAAGACTTTATAGGCTGTAAAGTGGTGAAACTGAGCTGCTACTGAGTTGCTATTTTTTTCTCCCCTCCCTCTGCCTCAAGCTAAACGTTCTTCAGATCTCTTGTGATTTCTTCAGGCGGTCTTTGTGACTTCCTAGCCTCCGACCTGGAATAAATCTCTCTTTACACTTCACTTCCACAGAGCCCTGCATTTTAACTTCCCTATCCAAAGCAAGAAAAATAGTTATCATTTTCAGAGGGCTTACTCTGTGCCAAGTCCTGATAAAACTCTTTACCTGGATTATCTCATTTAATTTCACAACATCCTTTTAAGGTAGCCACTGTTATCCTCTTTTCAAGCTCTGTCTGCCTGTAATTGCCTATTTAATGTCTGTTTCCACCACTAGACTGAGCTCTGAGAAAAGGGGCCATGACTGTCTTGTACATTTCAGTATCTCCAACCCCTAATATAGTGCCTGATAAATATTTCCTAACTAGCATGAAAATGACTGACCCTCCTCCCATCACTACCCTCACCCTCAAGAGCATTGTCTCTCCTGCAGACTTTTAGTTGCTGTGCTGAACAGCACTTTCCTTTATTCCCATCACTCACTGGGCACTGGTTTGAGGGGCCATCAGTTCACTTCTCTCTGGATTATCTGATGATGAGGATCCAGAACGTCTCTTAGCATTTAGGCTTCCACCTTGGTTCAGGAGGCTTTTTCCTTGCCTGTCATATCGTCTCTAGAACAAGGCAGCCCTCGCTGCCCTTCCTGGGGTGAGCCTGATGCATTTGAGTCCAGGGCATTGGCAGGTAGGATTTGCCTATGCAAGCTTTGGCTGTTCTTTTTAGTAGCCTCAGAATCACCCCCATCCCCACTCAGCCTGTTCCTGGAATTCTAGAGAAAAATGGCCAGGCTGGGGGCCATGGCTCATGCCTGTAATCCCTGCACTTTGTGAGGCTAAGACAGGCGGATCACTTGGGGTCAGGAGTTTTAGAGACCAACCTGGCCAGCATAATGAAACCCTGTTCATACTAAAAATAAAAAAAATTAGTCGGACGTGGTAGCGCCCCCCTGTAATGCCAGCCACTCGGGAAGCTGAGGTACGAGAATCAGTTGAATCCAGGAGGAGGAGGTTGCAGTGAGCCAAGATCGTGCCATGCACTTCCAGCCTGGGCGACAGAGAAATACTTTGTCCCAGATAGATAGATAGATAGATAGATAGATAGATAGATAGATAGATAAAATTGCTGGGCGCGGTGGCTTACACCTGTAATCCCAACACTTTGGAAGGTCACGGAGAGCAGATCACTAGAGGTCAGGAGTTCAAGACCAGCCTGGTCAAAATGGTGAAACCCCATCTCTACAAAAATTAGCCGGGTGTGGTGGTGCCTGCCTATAATCCCAGCTACTCGGGAGGCTGAGGCAGGAGAATTGCTTGAACCCAGGAGGCAGAGGTTCCAGTGAGCCGAGATTGTGCCACTGCACTCCAGCCTGGACTACAGAGCAAGACTCTGTCTCAAAAAATACATTCATTAATAAAAATAAATTAATGACTTTGCCTCACTCCCCAATTTCAGCACCCGGGCATTGTGCCTTGTAGCACATCCTAGCTGAGCATCTAAGCACAAGCCTCTGCTGACCCCTTTTGGTCTCTGTGGGATCTGCCCTAGCCCAGCAGCCAGAGCCCCAGGTGCACATTTGGCACCTTCTGGCCTGGTGACGTCACCTGTCAAAATGCTTTCCCACCACTTATCTCGTGGGGTCCTTCCTACAATCCTGGGAAGTGAGGAGAGCCGGGATTCCCATTCTCACTTTACAAATGAGCAGCAGGATCCTGGGATCCAGGACCAAATCTACCACTAATTCCTTACCTGACCTTGACAGGTTGCCTTCCTACTCCTAGGTTCCGTCACCCATTGATGAAATAGGAGAGGCGATCTGCACAAGACAGCTATATGGTCTCTTCCAACTCCCCAGCCTCTCATAGTGGAAAGGTGACTTGCCCAAGATCAGAGTGAACCAGAGCTGAAGCACTCCCAGTCTGCAGGTTCCCATCACTGATCAAGAAAAGCCAGAGGTGTCTCAGCAAAGAAGAAAACCTGTTCTTCCACCTTTATGTTCTGATCGTGTGTTCAAGGGCCACATAGGTGAGTGGGTGGGTGGGTGGGTGGATGGATGTATGGATGTATGAGTGGTTGGATGGATGAGTGGTCGGATAGATGAGTGGTCGGATAGATGAGTGGAGGGATGGATAGGTGGGTGGGTGGGTGGATGGATGGATGGATGGATGGATTGGTGAGTGAATGGATGAATGGATGGATAGATGAGACAGATATGTCACAACTTTAGCACTCACTCTTAGCAGCAACTTCAGCAGCTAGCTACCTCCCCCTGCTCCCTGACAAGTTACCTCTCTGATTCCAGCTGGGTAGCCCTTTGGCAGGATCCTCTGGATCCACTAAATTCTGAATTCTTCACATTCTGAAATCACTGCTCCTGCCTGACAGCCTAGAGCTAGGACCTGCAGTGTGGGGAATAAGTCTTCATCACAGGCTTCCTTCTTGACATGTTATCAACCACTGTGCTCAACAGCTACAGCCATGGGAGGAGAGTCAGTGGCCAGGGGCCATAAATGAAGCTTCCAACCATGGGCATCCCTCACAGAGCAGTTCCTTTTTGCCAATAATGGCTGAAATAAGCTCTGCGCTCATAATGCAGCTGAGGATCACTGGGGCGGCCGCCTGGCATGGGAAGAGCATGCCCTGTGCATCGTATGGCCTGGTTCACATCTGACGTTAAGTTCCTCCACCTCCCTGTGCCTTGGTTTTCTTGCCTGTAAGATGGGCGTGATGCCTGACAAGTGTTGTTGTGGGGAATGAATGAGGTAAGATAAAATGCCTCGCAGGTCATAGGTGCTCAGTAAACAGAAGTTCCCTTCTTTTTGTTCCAGATCATGGAGAAATGCTGTAGAGGAAAGGAACAAAGTCTACTGTGCATCCAGCAAGGTTTGTATGTATGTACGTATTGTCACTGCAGCCTCTGCGACCTGGGTTCAAGTGATTCTCCTGCCTCAGCCTCCCGAGTAGAGTAGCTGGGATAACAGGGGCCTGCCACCAAACCCGGCTAATTTTTGTATTTTAAAAGAGACAGGGTTTCGCCATGTTGGCCAGGCTGTTCTCAAACTCCTCACCTCAGGTGATTCCACCCACGTTGGCCTCCCAAAGTGCTGGGATTACAGGCGTGAATCACTGCACCCAGCCTCAAGGTTTTTAAACTGGTAAGTTTTTCCAAGTACTCCAAAGCGGTGAAATGCATTTGGTGGGGGAATGAAGGGAGGGGAAATGAAATGTATTTTCAACAAGAAATGAAGTTGTGTTCAAACATACTTAATCTCTTTAAGCGATAGTACCATTCATCTGTCCACTGCCATCATCACAGAACTTCAGGCACAAGGAATACTCCACAGAGATCTTCCAGCGACAAGCCGAACTCATCTCTTTATTTCATAGGAGTCTGGGGCAGCAGTCAGGACTCCTATGTCCCATCCCTCCGCTTCTTGGGTGAGCCTCTCCCTCATCCACATCTCCCTAACCCAGCCTAACTCTCCCTAATGGTCCATCCATCCCAGAGTGGGTGACAAGTTCTTCAGGTATCTGGTGGAAGAGGCACCTGGGTTGGAGTCCAGCTTTGATGTTAAAGAGCTGACCTTGGCCGGGCATGGTGGCTCACACCTGTAATCCCAGCACTTTGGGAGGCCAAGGCAGGTGGATTACCTGAGGTCAGGAGGTGGAGACCAGCCTGGCCAGCATGATGAAACCCTGTCTCTACTGAAAACACAAAAATTAGCCGGGTGTGGTGGTGCATGCCTGTAATCCCAACTGTTTAGGAGGCTGAGGCACGAGAATCGCCTGAACCCAGGAGGCGGAGGTTACAGTTAGCTGAGATTGTGCCACTGCACTCCAGTCTGGGTGCCAGAGCCAGACTTCATCTCAAAAAAAAAAAAAAAAAAAAAAAATAGCCAAACAACAACAACAAAAAAAACACCTCATCCATAAAATAGGGTTAATAAAATGACCTATTCTGCTGTTGGGAGGATTCAGTGAGATCATGTTTGAAAAGAGCTGGGCCTTATACCTAGCACATGAGTGCTCAATAATATGTTAATCTGCTAATAGTTTT